TAACATATTAAAGATTCACAGAGTCTTGTAAGTTTGCAACAATAACTTTGGACTTGCTACAAGCCTTAGTAACTTAAAAACATAGACACGCTTTCTTATTTTTTTACTAAGTGATATTATTTGATGTTTCCAGTCGTAGTTACGTAGTAGACCCACGCTGCAGATATATTATAGTTAAAGCACGAATGGGTGGGCTCGACCGGGGAAGGACCACGCTCTCATAGAATACCAGCGTAAAATAGTATGTCTACCACGTACAAATCAATATAGAATATCCGTAGCCGGTTTATCGATTTCTAATCTAATTAATATAAAATATTAGGAATATTTTAGAAAGAAACATTAATCTCTGCACTATTTCAGCATATTAACTCCTCACTTTACTTCTAAATTATCTATTTACGATCTGTCAAAACCATAGACGCAATCCTCTGTCTGTGGTCAAAACATTCTAAAGTAAAACGTCATGAATGCCCTCGTTATTTCACGTCAAACAAAACAATTTTGTGGAATATTTAGCGTTATGCAAATATCGATGACAGTTTATCTGAGGTCAAAAGGTGAGTGTATAGACGACGGCAAGCACTTCTACGGTGACAGTTTACAAAACAATATCTTTATTTTAGGCATCAAGGAGATCCGTAGTAGATGATAGCTAGCTCGGGGGCTAAACGCTCGCTGTAAAATTTCACAGTACTCGAACAATCCTGGTTCGATTCCCGCCGGCGCCAATTAAATTGTTAATTGGAATTTTAAGTACTGATTTGCCACGTGCTCGGCGGTGAATAAAAACATCGTGAGGAAACCTGCATGTCTGACAGTAAGAAAAAAAATCAAAAAAAAAATCGAAGACGTGTGAAGTTCGCCAACACGCATTGGGGCAGTGTGGCGGACACTTCCTATATACAGGCTGTAGCTCTAGGTATCAACGACTTAAAAATTTAGAAAATTTAAATAAAACTAGTTTTTACAGATTTTTTTATATTCCTGACGTTTCGAGCACTTTACAGCACCTCTGGTTACGGGGGGACTGAGTGTTCAACATCCCAATGTCATAGTCACACAACAAAACATAATGGAGACAAACTCAGTCCTAGTAAAAATGGCGGATATTTGATAGTGTCATGCTAGAAAGGTTTATGTAACGAAAGAAAGTCCAGTATCAATGGCGACCACGCCGGAAAAATGTTCTGGAAACTCGTAAGAACAGCCAGGGGAAATACAAAACAGCCTATAATTAATGCTATAAGAGACGAGAACGGATGTATTCTGAATGATGAAGTTTCGAATTTAAACAGATGGAAGGAATACTTTGAAAGCGTGTTTATGAGTGAAGAGTCGTCTGAATTAAATGAACTAGAAATTCCGAAAGAAGTGGAAAGGAGTATGGAAATAAGTGGAGATGAAATAATGAAAGCAATGAAAAGCATGAAAGCAGGTAAGGCTGCCGGATATGATAGAGTATCACTCGATATGCTAAGAGCTGGAGAGGGAGTGGTGGCAGGCCTGCTGTACACCTTGTTTAATTTATGTTGGGAATTAAAACGGGTACCGGATGACTGGTATAAAGCAGTAATAGTACCAATACATAAAGGAAAAGGGTCACAGCAGGACTGCAAAAACTACCGTGGTATCAGCTTGCTTTGTATTGTGGGTAAACTGTATGTTCAAATTCAAATTCAAATTCAAATTGTTTATTGCATGTCACATTACAAATTTAAGATGGTACAATTTTGATCGGTATACATGTGACGCCCCGCAAGGGCATAGCAACACTAGAGGGCTAACTATTTTCGTATTATCTAATTTTTAAACATAAATTACAAATTATCATATCATCAACATTCAATATTATTTTATATAAATTAATTTAATTTGAAACACAATGAATAGTCTAAGTATTCTTACTTTATCGTTATTTATCGTCAAAAAATTCATTTAAATTATAGTAACATTTATTAATAAGAAATATTTTTAATTGTTTATTAAATTGCACAGGATTTTCCAGGATTTTTATGGAATTTGGTAAATGGTTATAAATCTTTATTGACATAACGTGAGGGCTGTTTGAAACTAATTTTAATTTGGAGAAGGGTATCTTAAGCTTATATAAATTTCTATTATTTCTTTTAGTCTTTTTAATAGGTGAGTAGAGTTTTGGGTGTTTCCTAACAAATTTACAAGATTCGAGGATGTAGATAGATGTAAGTGTCAAAATCTTATTTTTAATGAAGTGGGGTTTACATGACTCCATTTTGTCCAAATTTATCAATATTCGTAGACACTTCTTTTGTAATATAAATAATTTGTTTATATCACAAGAGTTTCCCCACAAGATGATGCCATAGGAGAGTACGGAGAGAGCATGTGCATAGTAAGCCGCAAGGGCAGTCTTAAAATCTGTCACACGTTTAAGGTGTTGCAGTGCATAAATAAATGAGGATATTTTTTTTGCAACTTTTTGTACGTGCTGTTTCCAACTCAAATGTGTGTCCAGGTCTATTCCTAACAAAGTATGCTAAGGTGTTAATTGAAAGAGTTATGAAAGAAACTGATGGAAAAATTTGGGATGTGCAAGCGGGTTTTAGAAAGGGAATGGGGTGTACAGATCAAGTCTTTTCTATGCACATGTTTGCGGAGAAGTTTTTGGCCAAAAACCAGAAAGTTTTTTGTGCGTTCATGGACTTGGAAAAGGCTTATGATAGAATGGACAGGAATGTGTTATGGCGAACACTGAACTCATACGGGTTGAGCGCTGGTTTGATACAGGCATTAAGGTCTCTTTATAGGGACTTTAGTGCTTGTGTCAGGATCAATGGGGTCTACTCGGACTGGTTTGGCATCCAAAAAGGTGTCAGACAGGGCTGTGTAGCTTCTCCTTGGCTTAATGATGAAACGCGAACACACACAGAATAAAAAAAATAAAAAAAAAAAAAAACAATAAAACATAAAATGGCTGTTCAACATATTTACGAGTATGGACAGGTGTTTGCAAACTTTGAAAGATGAAGAATGTGGGTTAAGAATGGGCGAGTTAACCGTCAAATGCCTTCTGTATGCCGATGATCAAGTTATATTTGCGTCATCGGCGGCTGAGTTGCAAATGATCGTTACATTAATGAACTGGGCATTAAAAGAAAGGGGAATGAAAGTGAACGCAAGTAAGACGAAAGTGATGGTTTTTGAAAGAGAAGAAAACAAAACGGCATGTGAAATAAGAAAAGAAGGAGAGTTAATTGAGCAAGTGGTAGAGCCATAGTAGCGTGGTAGAGCCATGCTGCAGTTATATTAGTAGTATAGTTGTAGCACGAATGGGTCGGCTCGACCGGGGAAGGACCACGCTCTCACAGAATACCAGCGTGAAATAGTAGCTTAATACTGCTGTATTTCGTATGGTGAGTGTAGAGAACCGGAGACCCTTTTTACTGGAAACGAGGCATTCCATCTTAGTCCTCACGGGTGACAACGCATCTGCATTTTGATTTTTAATGGAGGATAGATGTAGATGTCTATGGGCCGCAGCAACCACTTACCATCACGTGGACTGTGTGCTCGTTTGTCACCCTATTCTATAAAAAAAAAAAAAAAAAAAAAAAGTGGATGAGTTTGTGTATTTGGGATGTGTATTTAGCAGGGATGGTAGACATGATAAGGATATAGAACGACGAGTAAATGCAAGGAATAGAGTGAATGAGGCACTTCACTCTATTATGAGGAATCAGAATGTGTCAAAAAGGCACGTATGGTAATTCATAATGCTGTGTTAGTCCCTACTTTTATGTATGGTAGTGAAAGCTGGGTGTGGCAGAAGAAGCACGAAAGTAGAATAAATGCTGTAGAAATGCGGTCTTTAAGGAGTATGCTAGGGTTGAATCTGAATGACAGGGTGAGAAATTGCGTGACAAGAGGTAAATGTGGTATGCAAGATGATGTTGTGACCAGGATTAAGAAAGGAATGCTTCGGTGGTTTGATCATGTAGAAAGAATGAATGAGGAAAGAGTGACAAAGCAAATTTGTATGGCAGATGTGAACAGCAGAGTCGTTAAGGGACGCCCTAGAAGTAAGTCTATCGACCAAATTGGCAATATTTTGAAAATCGGCTACGTTAGAAGTACCCTTAACCGACGAGCGTTAACATTCGTAAATAATTAAGGAGGCGAAAGAGGTGTGTCAGGATCGTGCCAAATGCAAGTCCTTAGTCTCTGCCTACCCCTCTGGGTGACAGGCGTGAGTGTTTATGTTATGTTATTTCGCCATGTATGCTTTTAATCTTTAATGACAGCCCTTAGTAACCACGGAAAGTCCGCCGTGATGTATAGGAATGGTAAAAAATTCAAAGTAATTTGGCTATTTGCGCGCAGTGGTAAAGTGTTATCTAGCTTGTGTGCGCGATTTATCTAATTAATAATAATTATTAAAACGTTGGCAAGCAGTAGACATCAAAGGAATGCAACTTCTGTACGTAGTACTATTATTTGTTCTGTGGTGGTCATGGCGCCGGCGTGGATGGGCAAGTTTAAAAGAGTTTTGTACTGTCGGTACATCGACCTGTCACAATCTCGGGCCTAGTTCTACAGTAGCGCCGATCTACTCTAAACTTCGGCGGCCGGGATGACGGCACTCGGACAACGGCTTGCGGTGGACAGGCGGCTATAGTACATGTATTGCTATCTCAGTACCGTCATCTCGTTCTCGTTGACGTCCCGGTGACGGCAGCGGTGGACAATCGCCCTAAGGCTTCTGAAAGCTTTATTGACGTAACAAAATTTGTTATGAACGTTTAGGCCGTATCCCGCCAAGATTAGAAGGGATAAATGTAAGACTTCAATATTAAGCGATAGCGGGATAAAACATATTTTTGTATCTTTATAATCCTATTTTAGTATTCACTTCGTAGATTTTCGTGTTGAGTCCATAACTTCGATTCTAATTAAAATATATAATTGTCATCACTATTAATATTCGACAGTGAAAAAAATTTTGTATACTTTTGTTGCAGCTGTACAAATCGATGAGGACTCTTCTTTCCCGGATTATTGGCAAGACGATTACGAATGGTATAGTGGTGAATTGGAAAAATTAGGTATTCTTGACACTGAAGTCAAATCTTCAAAAGAATTGAAAACAGAAGGAAAAACAACTCTTGAAATACAAAATATTGACCAAGAAAATGATCGAAAAGTAGCAGAAGAAATCGAAAAATACAGAAATGATAACGAAGCTCAAATTACCCATAAAAATGTGGAATCGGAAAATAATTTATTAGACTACCAATTTGAAGATAATAGATCTGAAGTTGATGATAATGATGAAAAAGAAGATACCGATTTGACTGAAGATAAAGCTAAAGAATTTGAAAGCATTGAAGATGAATTGCAGTCGATCGGCGAGTTAGCCGAAGATATTGCAGATTTAAATAGAATCAAAGAATCACTACAAGACGATAAAGAAGTAAAAACAGACTTATCTAATAAGAAAAATGATCAGGACACATCTAATCTTGACCCAGAATCCATTGATAATACATTTGATATCGATACTGACGATATTACTGCAAGTAAGGAAAATTCAAATAAAAATAAAACAACAGATAATGAAGAAGTATTTTTGGAAACAGAAAAGATTTTGAAGGATGATGAAAATGAAGACTTCTTGGAAATGCAGTCTTTACCAAAAGATCAGACTAATTTAGATAACATTGTTGAAGAAACAAGGAAAATATTGGAAGCAACTAATGATAAACTAGATGAAAATATTAAAGGAAGTGAACCAAATATAGAATTAAAAAGTCAACAATTAGATAAAATCATAGAAATAGATGAAGACGACTTAAAAAATTTCGATGAAGCGTATGATGATCTTGTAGACAATTGGGACAAATTATCAGAAAATTGGGATCAAATAAAGAGCAACGATGACAAAGAAAATGTCTTAAACGATGAAGAAATTGATTATCTCTATAAGAAATTAAATTTGGGAGACGACTACGAAAATATCGATGACGAAAACATTGAATCACTATTATCTCCGTTTGAATTAGAGAAAAAAGTTAAAACCGATGTTTCAACGGAAAAAGTCGAGCCCATGCCAGATGATACCAAATCAGAAGAAAATGAAGCACCAAATGAATCTCATGCAATTGAATATCTTCACGATGCTTTACTAGCAAGTGATGTTACGGACCCAGATGCTGAGATAATTGGCCAACGAACTACTTCTAACCCTGTCGTAGACACAGAAATAGCTTCTGTAAGTAGCCAAGGTGAAAATAAAAAAGAAAAAAGTGCTTCTACATCTTCAAGTGTAGAATATATCCCTCTATCCGAATCTGAGTACGAGCGGGTAATGGATGAATTTAAAGTTCAACACAAAGAAGATTTTAACGTTAAATCTAAAGATTTCGATAAGCACGTTGCTCCAATCCACATAACTATCAGTGAAGAGCCGGTGATCGTAACTTCGCCTAATTATCCCAGCAATTACCCAACTAATAACATCATCGACTGGATCTTCCAAGGCGAGGGTGAAGGCATCGAGCTCAATATCACAGACTTCGCTGTGAATGGACATCTTGGAGATTATCTTCTAGTGAAACCAGGTAACTAATATATTTATTATCACAGGTATCTCCATTTCTTTGTTATTTTTGGTTTGTATCATATAATTTTAAGTTCATATGATTTATTTTACAAAAAGATTTCTTCTTTAGCTTACTTGTCGCCAACTTACTAACTGTCATTTATATCCCTCATAACGTATTATCGGTCAAGCAACGGAGTGTGGATATTTGCGTAGGGCGAGGTTATAGTGCTCGAGTGTGTTTGAAATTACAGGTTACAGGTTACTCTCTCCTCCCTCAATCTCATACTGCACTCAGACTCAGAAGGTATCAGATGCAGAACTAGGACATTATTATATAATATGATTCACTATAACATCTTCGGTAACCATAATCGTTACCCTTAGGGGCTCAATTAAATTTAAATTTTCAGGTGGCGTTGATGCATCTGGAAACGAGGGTCTTATATTTTCGTACACCCTGAGTTCAGAGCGCCGGTACCGATTCATGGACGTGAACCGGATGTTCGTTCGTTTCGAAGCAAAGCCCGGAATGCAGTTTATGAAGGGTTTCAGTTTTAGCGTCAAATTGCTGAGTGAGTATTGCATCATTTGCGATAGTTAAAGAACTAAACGATGCTTTGCGAAAATCCATTATATAAAGAATGTTGAAAAATAGTTACCTAAGATCCGCGTAATAAAATCAAACCATGTGAGTTACCCAGTTTGAGAAGCACCTCCCAAAGCTTTAAGTGAGAAGCTTTAAGTAATGTATGACCGTCCGTGAAGTGAATATTGGGCTCTATTTGAAAATCAGCGCTGCTGTCATTTAGTACAACAGCAGTTAGCTGAAATAGCAAACTAATTGTCTGTTTTTTTAAAATCTGGAATTATTTTTTTCTTTGTGCTTTCTAATTAAGTTCTTCTTTCTTTTTTCTCCCGCCCTTGGAAAGACACATCATCGTCGATAATGGTAATATCGACGATGGTGTGTCATTCCTAATCTTAGCTAATTAGTTCTTAACATCATCATTTGTTATATTCTCGAATTGGAGGTGCTTAAAATAATTACAACGTTACAACATGATACAGCGAACTTTTATTTTTCTTAATTGATCTTCAAAATTCACGTCTGATTTATCGTTTAGTGGCGGTGTAAGAACACCCAGTATCCCATATCATCCCGTGGGAGTGGTTTTGAATAGGAGATGGGCAGCAGCATTTTCCTGATAACAAAAACTGCTAAAAAATCTATGGTGTATATAATTAATCCCTCTTTATGAGGGAGTTCTATATTCAGCAGTGGACTATGATGGACTGTAAAGAAAGTTTTTTTATAGGATAGGGTGACAAACGAGCACACAGTCCACCTGATGGTAAGTGGTTGCTGCGGCCCATAGACATCTACATCTATCCTCGATTACGAATCAAAACGCAAATGCGTTATCACCCGTGAGGACTAAGATGGAATGCCTCGTTTCCAGTAAAAAGGGTCTCCGGTTCTCTACACTCGTCATACGAAACACAGCAGCTTTAAGCTACTATTTTACGCTGGTATTCTGTGTGGTTCTTCTCCGGTCGAGCCGACCCGTTCGTGCTATAACTATACTACTAATACAACAACTAAACAACAATTGCAGTATGGATTTACCACGTGGTTGAGTAATGCCGTAGCGTATAATGCATGTAGAATGAATTGGTCGGCTCGATTGGATGATGAACCTACAAAAAAATCCATACTGAAATAGCAGCATAATGCTACTGTGGTTCATTATGCTTAGTAAGGAGAATCGGACTTCCTTTTTACTGATAACGAGGCGTTCCTGAGTCACCGTCTTTAGGAGAGAAAAAGCATCTGTATTTTGATTTCTAAACGAGGATTAGTGAAGCTATTTAGGAATGTATTTACTGACCATTAGGTGGACCTTTACGTAACTTTAACAGGCAACAGAACAAACACAAGTTATATTCATTATATTTGTTTTACAGAAGAGGGCTATTAGAGCAATATATCATTTAAAACCTAAAGAGTCGCTCAGACAAAAATTTAAGGAAAATTAATATATTAACTTTGCCTCTCAATACATTTATGAAAATGTAATGAACGTACAAAAATAAAACTAGTTTTACAAAAATAAGTGATATTCATTCTGTAAATACTAGGAACAGACACAAGCTAGTAGTACCAGTTACTCGACTCCACCGAGTCAGTAATTCATTCTTGGAGCGATGCGAGCTTTTACAATAAAATTCCAAAAAAAATTGACCTGCACAAAATTAAATAACTTTATTAAACTAAGTTTGTATAGAAAGGGTTATTATAATATTGAGGAATTTATGGATGATAATAACCCCTGGGAATGTGGCGATCGCTACCAGGCTGTTTCTAATTTGTTTTGTGTTGTTTAATTGTGTAACAAACATTAAGTTTAGGAGAAATATAACCTCAAACGGCTTAGCAAGATCCTCCGTTATGCCGAAAATATAGCAGAATTAATTTTGAACTAAATATATGGTAAAGTTGTGGATTAGTGTTAAGTACTATGTTAGACGAAAACATGATTCCGTAAAATTTTCTCTATAGAAAAAAAAATCTAAAGTTACCTCTAAACTGAACAATAAACCGCTGTTATTCATAAAATACTTTAAATAAGATCATGAAACTTTGCATACTAACTGAACTAACTATAAAGCAGGGCTTATGTTTTTTTTTAAATTACCATTATTTTTACTGTAAAAAGAAATTACCTAAACTATCGGTGGCCTGAAGCTTGTTTCCTGCCATCCGGTTCCAGTTTCCGGGTTTCAGTATAACGGAGGATCTTGCTAAGCCATTTGAGGTTATATTCCCCCTTAAGTAAGCTGTTATTTTTAAATAAAAAGTCCCGCTGGGTTTCTTGCTGGTTCTTCTCAGGACAGAGGCTTTTTTCGAACCAGTGATAATTAAATAAAAGAGTGACTTTCAATAAATATTCTGTTTTTGTTTATACCTTAACTTGATTCTATAGAAACACTGCTGAATAGCTGAATAGCTGCTCCTAGGATTGCAATTCTTGAAAGAGTTAGGTCATAATTACCTTCGCGATATCTTTAGCCAATATTGAACCAATTTTAATGATCACATTTATTAAATAAGTTACACTTCTAGGATGGCTCCATATAAATTTAAAGAAATAGTTTCACCCCTAATGTCCTCCAGACCGAATTTCAGTCACGGCGGCCAGCCTTAACGGAGGCTAGCCATCGACGCAGGACAGGATTATAGTGCCCAAGCACAGGTGCACTCTCTATTCCCTCACTCTCGTAATCCGATGGGACGGTAAAACGACATGACCGGAGAGAGATCAGGCGCAGGACCAACGGCTTTACGTGCTTTTCGAGGCACGAAGGTGAGACGCCAACTTTCTGACTCCGGGCAGCTTCTGAGAATTTCTTGACAGAAAAACTCAATAATTGATTTTGAGGCCTGACACAGGATTGGAATCCAGGACTTTATTATCAGCAGTCGCACTACTACAACCACTAGACCAAATAGGGGATAAACATTTTAATGTGTTATTTTAATCAAAGGGATCAAAAAAGCCGACTTCAAAAGAATAAAATAATTTTTCACATATCAACTTCTGATTCTGGTCTTTAACGTTAACTCTTAGCAGTTTAAATTTTGTCTAGTACGATTAACCTATTTTATTCGTTACAGGACATATACCTTTCGAAACAGAACCCCAGCCCACCCCGGAACCGGTGATTGTACCACCACATTCTACTATCACTCTAAACCTTGGAGGCACGACCCTCGAAAACTTTGTGCAAGGAGAGATCGAGGAGGAATTCCGTCGGATCGTTGCTGATATGGCTACGATGTATATTAACTCAAACAATATTGATCCTGGACTTAATACCACGTGAGTTTTTAAAAAAAGTTGAATGTTTTCAAATCGTATTTTAAGTCTAAGCTGAATTTAAAAAAAAAACTGACAGTAGTGATAGATGTGTGTATATTATGTATCTGACCTTGATGGTATCACGTGTTCCCTAAAGTCCCCAACGTGTTCACTTCAAAAATCTAACAGTACAGTATACGTGGTAGATCTACGCTGTAGCTATATTACGGTTGCAGCGTAAATAGGTCGGCTTGACCGAGGTACCACGCTTTCACAGAATACCAGCGTAAAAGAGAAGCTTAATGCTGCGTTTTGTATGGTGAGTGTCGAGAACCGGAGACTCTTTTCACTTGAAACGAGGCATTCCATCTTAGTCCTCAGAGGTGACAACGCATCTGCATGTTGATTTTTAATCTTAATATATTTTTTATCTAAATGTAGATGTAGGCCACAGCATCCATTTACCATCACCCGTTGTATCCTTATTCTATAAAGAAAAATATCATTTCGTACATAAATACTCCTACATACAAACAGGTCAAGCTTTGATGTATTGCAGTGCTTCCCAAACTTTTTCGGTTTGCAGAACACTTACAGCTTTAGTATTTTGTTTTGGCGCCCTAGCTAGTCGTATTATGGTACGATGATACTAGTTAGATATACACTAAAATTTAAACATTCACAATATGAAATTGAGTTTTTATATTCATGTTGACACACAAAAATATTTTTAATTAAAAAAAATTGGGCTTGGTAATCTCCATACATTTTTTCAAAACGTGGGATAAGGCTTGACCCTGCTACTCTCATTTTTTGCTGAACATTGATCTTTGAGCGATGTTTTGTCTTTATTACAGCTACAGCTGAAAATCCGGTTTATTTTGTCCCGCGAATACAGATAAACTCCCCTTTACTCTATGGTGCACTAGGGCGCCGCGGCGCACACTTTGGGAACCCCTGAGGTAGTGGATATTCTTACTAGAGATGGGCCGAATATTCGTTTCATATTCGGTATTGGGCATATTCGGCAGCTTTAACGAATATTTTTTTTTAAATACTTTATTGTACACCACACATATACAACGAATAAATACATTACGGAGAAAACTTAATATATACGTATGTACAATAAGGCGGTCTTATCGCTAAAGAGCGATCTCTTCCAGACAACCTGCTATATAAAAAATATTCATATTCGGCCGAATATTCGGCTAATTCACCGAACATTTATGCCATGCCATGTCTTTCATAATCTTATTGTTGAAAGTATATTTTGTTTATGGGTTAAATCTACTTGTATAGAGTTATGTTTTTGAGGCACTGTACATTTATTTTCAATTATAGCAAATTGAAAGCTTGATAAAATGTTTTTGGGATCAAACAATGAAACATTACATTACATAATTACATTTCACTTTACTTTGGTCGTCAGTTTCTCTTAACCCCTCGTCTGCCGGCCGGTCATTTTGCAAATACATATGTCGCGTCTGCTAGGGCCTTAGGAGGTAATTTCGCGATATCGGCGCGTGGCGATTAAATTAGTAATTTCTCTAAAATATTGTATGGAAGCTATGTATAAAACTTATGTCATATGAATTGTTATATTATTTGCTATTACTCTGTAGATATCTTACTTGAATACAACTTAATAGATTTTATTAAGCCAATTTCAAAGTTGGAAAACCAAATTTTTAATAGTATTTTGTGCATAATTTGTGAAAATTAAACAAAAAAATCATTCTTTTATAAAATAAATGTAATTTATTTTAATCAATATACACTAATTTATAATAAAAAAGCAAAAAAACCACACATTCCTATATATTTTTACCCCAAAAGTTTTTTTACAATCTTAATACATTAACGGCAACCCAAGCGTCGCACAAAAAAATAGCATATATTGTTAGTTTTATTTTGAGAAATGAGCAAGTCAAGTGGCGTGCGATAATTTTAGCATTAAGTATGGCTCAAGTTCTTAATTTAGATAAAGTTTCATTTCTAAAAAGTATGTAATGTATTTTTAATCAACAATAGAGATAAATGTAAGGTAAGTAAGTATAACGACGGTTTATGTTCGATTTTTTTTTATAAAAAGGATACATATCCCTAAATTATGAATTAAAAACTGTTGGTTATTAACCCTTCCATGTATAAATAGCACCAAACTTCACTATTTGTTCGATTTGCGAATAAAAATAAGGACAAAAACCGGGACGGGTGACAACATAAAAGCGACGTTCGCATGCGACTGCCACACAGGATGTTTATTCGAAATTTCTAAACATGGCAGTACTTTAGTAGCTTTGTATCGCATCCTCTTTCTTTGGTTTATAATTTTCTATAAGTAAAAATGTAATAGAAATCATTGTCGCTGGTTATTTTACCCCCCAAATACGCAGTCACGGATCGGCCGGAATCTGGTCGCTTGCCAGACGCGCGTAATTAACCATCGGCCAGAATCTGGCCGGTTGCCACACAAGGGGTTAAATAAGTCCAAATATCTCCTGCCACTCATTTTTATCATATAATTATTAAATTTAACTCAGAATAACATCACGAAATACACACACACAGTTACAACTTAAGCATGTGCCGGCGGTGTACTAGATGACACAATATCATGTCAGCTGTGGTGGGGGAGCGAGGCGCAGGGTCCGGTGCTAATCTCGCGCTCTCTACGGTAACAAGTTTCGACATAAATTGGTTAGGTACCGAGGTGATCCTGCCGAATAAAGTTCGGCCGAATATTCGGTTCGGTAAAAGTTTTACCAAACTTTTGGACGAATATTCGTATTCGGTGAAATCCATATTCGGCCCATCTCTATTCTTACACCGCTTCAGCAACGTTGATTTGCTAGCGCCACTCAAAGTGTATAGTAAATATAGTCACTTTTATGTTTGAAAAATTAAGCGCCGCGCCATGAAGCCTTAGGAAGGAATAACAAGGGAGAACTTTGACGAGCATTTGTAACAGAACTCAAACCTTCTAAGTGATTTGCTTTAAGGCTAGCCTATCCCCTGACTTGAAATGAGTCGTTAATATTTCTGTAAAATAGAGTTTTTGACTTTTAGACTCCACGTCAGAAGCTCAGAAGTGAAAATTTCTTAGCGTCACAAACTTATAAACAATATTTTTGGGTTGTTATGAAATAATTGTTAATAAAATTTTCATTTATTGAAAAAGAATGGTTATCTCTAACTATATATAATAAATATATAAAATAAATATATAACCAAAACTAAATAGATTATTTATAAATTAATAAAAAGTCAGTGATGAGACATAATATGTATATAAAAATTATACTCCGACTTTAGAATGTGAAATTATTTTAATATTATTTGTTCCTTGTTTTCGATTTTTATCAGACTTTAATTTCTTTAAACCTTTTAAGTGGACTAAGGGATATTACAATTTCAAGGTCGCCTACATAGTTACATTAAACACTACATCCCCTATTTTTCCGTATTTAGGGTTGGAATATTTTCTCCAAATTTACACAGTAACACCCATGAAATTTAACCAGTTTATACGCTTATAGGTGGTAGAGCCACGCCGCAGCTATATATTATGGTTGTAGCACGAATGGGTCGGCTCGACCGGGGAAGGACCACGCTCTCACAAAATACCAGCGTAAAATAGCAGCTTAATACTGCTGTGTTTCGTATGGTGAGTGTAGAGAACCGAATACCCGTTTTACTGGAATCGAGGCATTCCATCTTAGTCCTCAAGGGTGACAACGCATCTGCATTTTGATTCTTAATCGAGGATAAATGTAGATGTCTATGGGCCACAGTATCCACTTACCACCAGATGGACTGTGTGCTCGTTTCTCACACTAATTCTATAAAAAAAACCCTGAAACGATTATTTTTAGCCAAACAACCATTTATTTCGGTACGGGCTCTGCAACGTCAAAGGTTTAAGCCTACCGAACCGTCGTGTTCTTTGTTCCAGAAGTCTGATATCATTTAGATATTATTTTAATACATATTTACGACACACTTTCTTCGAATACGTTCTTAATCCAAGTGATAAGTCCTATGATAATGTTGTGATATTTTTTGATATCACGGCTTTGACGCCTGCGTTTATAATGTAAATAAATTTAGATATTCTTAACATTTAAGAACTGATATCACAAATAATTATAACTTTTAAAAAGGAGTAAAAACCGACTTTAAATTGATAAAAAAGAAGTTATTTGTTATATATATTATAAAGGTTGTAACCCTTAGTGGTGGAATTTTTCACCCTTGTAGTATAACTGATGTATAAGATATTTTAGGATAAAAGAATAATTAAAATCGGTTCTTTATCTGCGAAGATATCATATGAAATTCCTTAAAAAATAGTCCAATGTGAAACCTTTTTCCCTATTTTCCACACCTGTTGACAGAATTTTTTGTTCAAAATTTAATATGACCACTTTTGAGATAAAGCCAATCTGCGAAGATATCGCGTAACATATATACAAAAAAAAAAACATACACTCGAATTACAGAATTGAGTACCTCCTCCTTTTTGATTTCGGTTAAAAAGACGGAACAGTTCTTTTTTTATAGGATAGGGTGACAAATTAGCACACAGTCCACCTGATGGTAAGTGGTTGCTGTGGCCCGTAGATATCTACATCTATGCCCAGTTACGAATCATAATTCAGATGTGTTGTCACCCGTGAGGACTAAAATGGAACGTCTCGTTTCTAATAATAAGGGTCTCCGGTTCTCTACACTCACCATACGCAACACAACAGTATTAAGCTACTATTTTACGCTGGTATTCCGTGAGAGCGTGGTCCTTCCCCGGTCGAGCCGACCCATTCGCGCTATAACTGTACTACTAATATAACTGCAGCATGGCTCTACCACGTATGTATGTATATAGTGCACTTGAATTTGAGAAAACAAGATAAAAAATAAAACTTAACTAAATGTGAGCGGTACAACACCACAGCCTGTTAAAGTTCACTGCTGAACACAGGCCTCCCCCATAGATTGCCTCATAGGAGGGATATTCG